CCCTCCTACTCGTATGTGTGTTTTTTTTTGCCTTTTGATAAAACCAGTGACCTTGGAGACCCTGCGGCGATTCCAATCGCCGTCGGCGGCCTCCGCGACAAGAGCAAGCTCGTCCGCTGGAGGGCCGCGCGGGTCGTCGGCGAGCTGGCCACCCGGGAGCAGGACGCGGTGTCTCTCGACGAGGCCCGCGAGGGGGAGGTCGAGTTCGAGGTGGCGTTCGAGATGGCAGACGCCGCCCGCAAGATCAGGGCGAGGGTTGCCGCCCCCGGGGAAGAGGAGGTGGCCACCGCCGCCGGGGTCGGCCCCGTTTGGAAGCAAATCCAGGAGAGGGATAGCAACAAGTAGACGGGCGGTGTACTTTATTTGTCCTTGGAGGGTTCAGCAATCATGGAATGTTGAGAGGAGGAGAGTCTAGGAATCATGGCATGCGGGAGGCTCTTTGGCGNAGGGGAGTCTAGGGATCACATGGCAAGTCAAAGTTGCTCTAGGGCGGTGGCTGGGTTTTTTCTGTCGGTCCGTGAGGCAGCACGCAGGGCCTGGTAGAGCAGGAAGACGGGCTATCAGTGCAAAGGGCTTGTGGGAGGAAAGGGGGTTCTAGCGAATGGGGAGTGAACCACCAAGGCCCATCCAGCAGTGAACCGGACCAGAATTACAGGTGGCCGTGTTGAGCCTTGGGGCTGTTTGAAGCGTGGCGCGGAGACCTGGATCGCTTCGAGTAGACGACGCGTGTAGAACAATTCAAATTGGCAAAAGGCAGGGTGGAGTTGGCAACCCACACACATACGGTTTGGGACAAAGAGAAGATATAGACAACGTAGAGTAGACGGCACAAACGCTGTGAACGCTGATTTGAAGTGAAGACAACGATAAAAAACGAAGTGAGTGATGATGTCTCGTGGTCGTACGATGGTGGGAAGTGACTTGGATTCATTATCAATGGCAATGCCGACCAGCAATGTCGATTAGATCCAAACCCTTGAGATGAAACGTTTGGCAGAAAAAGAAAATAAAACGCACTTGCCGGCAATTTTCGTAGCTGTTTAACGGTAGTTCAGCCGAGGATCTGTCTTGAGTCTAGTCTAATGTTTGTGTGGACGTGTCGGAACTACCCTTGCGTGAGTGCTTGCACAAAATGGCAACTCTTTGGACAAAATGCAGCGCCCAATTCCCACGCTCGGGCTGTGGTGCAGGTTCGGGGGAGACGCAAAGTCACCAAAAACGTGCAAAGCAACCCTGTCCTGGATCAACCTTCGTCGCTTGTCGTGTCAGAGCGAAGGAAAAAAATAAATCCCCGTAGTACACAATTGGAATCTCGAAGGCAGTACGGGCTCGAAGACAGACGGGGGAACGGGAATGATTCAGCGGGGCCCTTTAAGACCGATGGGGCCGCCAGCGCAGTCTTAACATATCATAACAGGTGGGGTAAGTTAACCCCGTCGTGGAAATAATGTCGTTTCCATATACCACGCGAAGTTTCCCTAGGGCAAAATACAATCATCCATCAAGGTGTGGCCGTGTCTGGCCTATGCTACTTCTGAAGTACCAATTATCTGTAGACACGTCGTGGAACACCCACCAATCTGTTAGGTGAACCATCGAGCAGGAACTGCGGTCCACTGCTACACTTTCGTTCTCCCACGGAAGGAACCGGCACCCCACCGGAGGCTACAAATTTAGCAGAGGTGGTGGCGAGATTGCCACCTCTTTCTCAAATCTATGGGCACAAACAAAGACGGGGCGGGGGGTTTTGTTTACGAGGAAGGGTAGCTCTTCCCCCTCCTCCTTTGTAACGGACTTGACACCGGCAGTGCCGACCAAAAAAAGGCGGGAAACCGTCAAACATTGCACAAGCCAAAAAACAAGTTAACACCACATATATGTCTATACACCCTGGGGGAAAGAATTTCTCCACCAACAGCAACAAATCGCCCCGTCCCCGTTCCAAAGATCGTTTGAAAAGGGCAAGTCCCCGAAAGATAATCAGCAAGCAACTGCCAGTAAACCAAAGAACAGCACCGTGCTATATGACCCAATTCCGCCGCCACCGGCCCAAGACACTATTCTGTTTCTTCGTGGGGTCGTGTATGCCGGGTTTTGAGACCACGGGCTCCCAATCTTTTTCTTTTTTTTTTAGAGCTAATGTGAGAAACAACAACAAACAACAACAACTAAACTACTCGTCGGGGAAGGGGCACAACCCTCATTGCGGGAGCCGTGTCTTGTATTTCTAGCGGCTAAGAACGCTCCACGCTAAGAAAGACCCGATGGGTTCGAATAGATGCTTGTCGTGTTTCTAAGCACCTCTGCGTGTGTATGGACCTCCTCGCCGCATGGGTGGAAGGGAAAACAAATTGGCCGACCGTTCTCGACTTCACCTTGGGGGAAAAACTATTGAGCGTTCGTTGGTGCCTGGCTCATCGCCGCCTGGTGCTGCTGTTGTTGTGCCTGTGCCGCCTGCTGTGCTAGTTGTGCTTGCTGCTGTTGCTGCGCCTGCTGTTGCTGCAGGAGCTGCTGCTGCTGTTGCTGCGCCTGCTGTTGCTGCGCTTGCAGCATCTGCTGATGTTGGTGTATCAGCTGCTGCTGGTTTTGCAGCTGTTGCTGCTGTTGCTGGTGCTGCTGTGGCTGTTGCTGCTGTGGTTGCTGCTGCTGCTGCTGTTGCGGCTGCTGCTGCTCCTGTTGGTGTTGTTGCGGCTGCCCGGCATTCACCAGCGCCTGCTGGACACCCGAACGAAGGCAGTGGGTCACGGGTAGTAGCAAGGAACCGGTTGTCAGGAAAAGCAGGAAACGCTTCATTCCTCCCTACCATCACAACCCCTGCCGGAAGCACGCTTCTTCTCAAGATCGTGTTCTTCAGGGCCTCACACAGAAAGGATGGGGTCATGTTCGGGCAGGGCTAGCGGCGGCATTTTGGGTTGTGTTATGTCTTACATTTTTGTCGTGTGCCGCTTAGATGGTGCAAACCGTCGGGATACCTCTCTTGCGTGCACATGTATGTAGCGAGTGTCGATACAGGTCGACGCAAACAGGACAAAAAAAAGCACAAAGAAACGAAGCAAAAAGACCATCGCAAAATAAAACAAGCGACTGCAAAAAAACAACCAAACAACGACGGCCATGACAACGACGACGACAATGGACGAGATGGGCGATACCAACGTCGACAGCGACGCCACCAGTCACCAGCCCATCCGACACACCAACGACCGGCCACCCCTCCGACGCCTCGAAACGCTGTCGCCGCAACCGAACCGAAGGGGACGCTAGAAAACATGGAAAACACAGTCGCAATGTACAAGACTGCTCAGACCTGAAGCATCGCCGGATTTGACATCATGGCGCTTTGCATGGCTGCTATCGCGTTCGCCTGTTCGATATCGGCTTCCCCCTGCCCGGCAGCAGCCACGCCCTGTTGCTGCTGCTGCTGCTGCTGCTGCTGCTGCTGCTGCTGCTGCTGGAGAAACATGGCCTTGTGGGTGACGTCGAAAATTGGTGCGCAGCACACGGGGCGACGATGACGAGGGCGGACGGCGGCAGGCAGCACGACGACAAGAGAAGGGGACAGAGAAACAGTGAGCGGGAGAGGAAGAGGGAGAGGGAAGGAGAGAGAGGGAGAGGAGAGAAAGAGAGAGAGAGAGAGAGAGAGAGAGAGCGATACAAGGGAAAGCTGGTGGGGACGATACACATTCGGGCTTCAAAGCCGCGACGACAGGAAAGCCGGCCAAAAAGCGGTGCCGGAAAACCAACGACAGCAAATATCCCCTTCGAGCTGGGGAAAAAAACTCTCGCTCTCTACTCCTGCCGGGTGGGCGGGGGGGGGGGGGGGGG